TTAAATAATAATAATAATAATAAAAGCACTTTATTAGTTATGCATATTACAACAAAATGGCCATAGACGTAGGGCCTTCAGCCAGTACAATTTGTATGGTATGTATGAGGATTTACCAGCTATATGTGTAAGATGAATATGAATATTAAGATACTTAAAAAAAAAACAACAATATGTGTCACTAATTATTGTTCATCGGCAAATTCGTTTAAGATTTTTGTTACTGATATCACTGGGTATTTAAACTTTGCTTGACCAATTTGTCGTTGCATTGAAAAAATGTTTATTAGCATGTGATTGTTTCGTTTCTTCGAGAAATTTTTTGACAGTGTCCTAATTCTTTCCAGGATAGGCTGAATATTAGTTTTTTCGTAAAAAATATTCTTTCGCTGGATGGTGAGTTGGGTTTTCATGATGTCGCATCTTGGTAATGATTCTTAGTGTAGAAATTTCGGCCACTTGGATGTTTTTTAATGCAGGTTTTCGGCAGTTTAAATATATAGTATGACCATGTTCCAGGAGAGGTCTGCAAATTGTTTTGTAGATATTAGTGACCGTGTAGATGTTGATACCTTCTTTTCTGTATGTTAAAGAGCGGAAATGTTTGACTCTGGTTTTTTTTTGTTTTTTTTTTGTCTGCGGGTTTGTTCATTGAAGTTCAGCTTATTATCAATAATAAGGCCTAGGTATTTCACTGAGGATACGGGACAGATTGGTTGGTTAGATATGATGAGTGTAGGTGATGTCGGTCTTAGATCATGATAGGGTATCATTAATTGACATTTTTGTGGATTAACTTGTAATCTCCATTTATTGAGCCATTGAGCAACTTCATTATATTGATTTTGTAGTGATATGTGATGGTTTGGTTCAGCGTATTTCCATGCGATATCAAGGCCGAATCATCTGCGCATTGGAGTGTGTAATTTACTGCATTGAGGTGTAACTGACCTGAAGGAAAATCAAAGCAATAAATGTTGTAAAGGAGCAGAGATAGTGGCGACCCTTGCGGTACACCTTGATTTGCTATGAAACTTGGAGATGTGTGTGGTTATTTATTTTAACGCTTAGAGTTCTGTTTGAAGGAAGTTTTTGATAAGAATTATAAGACTATCAGGCACATTAAGAAGTCAAAGGCTTTTTTAATGTCCAACAGGAGAATGGCAATTTTTTATTGTTCAATTTTGTTGTTTGCACATTTTTTAATGTCTTTGATGATGTTTGTTTTGACTTCCCGACTAGGGTTTTGCCTGTATTCTCTGAGCATTTTACCTTTTGTTTTGATGAGTTTCACGATGTACCTAGGAAGTTCATAAGTAAAATATTTGTTTGCAGTTTTTGGTGTGTTGTTTGTGATAATCTCGGAAACCTTTGTGTGAAAGTTATTGATTTCATTGGTACTAATATTAGTGTTGTTTGAAATTAGTTGGTTTACTTCTTTATTTTTTCAATGTTTGATTTATTGAAATATTTAAGAGGTGGGTCTGCAAAAGGAGATGGCATTCCTTGCTCGATAGTAAACGTTATAGAATGGTGGTCTGCCCCAATGTCGGAGATTACTTCTATATTCTTGATTGCGTTGCTAAGATTGTCAGTGTACATTAACAAATCTGGGGTGGAGTCCTCATTGTTGGGCATCAAAAAAGTAGGGGGAGTATCCGCTTTAATAAAGTTTGTGTTATGCATAAAAGTTTGAATCTGTTTTAATTTGCCTGGAAAGCGGTGGTTGAAGTCACCGATTAGCACAACATATTTGAATCTTCCTGCCATTCTGAAGATAGAATCGTCGGTTGAAGCATGTGGGTGGCTGTATATCAAAATAATGTGAAGTTCGTCATCACTGAAAGGGATACTGACGTGTAGAGCATCATTTCAGAAATCGTTTATGCGGGGCGGGTTTTGTTTTCGCATTTTTAGCTTTGGATTTATTTGCATAAGTGATCCTAATCTTATATTTTGGTTTAGAATATTTCCGTAGTGTCTTACTACATCCCAATTTCTATAGGTGGTGTTGGTTTCCGCATTGGTTTTAGTTTCTATCGTATGGTTCACTAAATATTTATTTTGAAAGTAACTGTTTATATTAGTGTATAATATTTTAATTTCGTTGTTGAATGTGAGCTACTTGCGATCCTGGTATAGTTTCAGTGGTAGATTCGAAGTTGTCTAGTTCCATGTCAAACATCAAGATGTAAATCAAGTTGTTTTAATTTTAGATGTGAAGATGTATTGACATGTAAAAAATAAGTTTTTTTGACTAAATAAACGATTTATATATTCGTTATGTGTTAAGTTCGCACATAAGAATCCCTGTTGTATAAGCTGCACTGAACCCTTCTGCAATCTCGACTGGTACTGTGATTGCTAAATTTGTTCTTGGGTTTCTTAGCGTGATCTAAGTGCTGTTTGTATTCAGTATTTTCTTCACAAAGAAGTAACATTTATTTTCGCAACTTTTTTAAGAGGTTATGTTCGTAATCTTTTCTATAGTAGATTACCACAATTGTAGATAGTGAGTCATGTAAAGAAATGTTATAGGCCAATCAAATTAAACGTTTACCCTGTACAAAAAAAATATTTTTAATAGTTGTTGATTTTCGGAATACCGATAAAAGGAGAAATATTCAGTATTAATTATTAAACAAATTAGTGGGGTATTGCAAAATTTATTTAATCTCTTACAAATTTACAAAAACCTTTTTCTTCTACTCACTCTTCAAAGACTATACGTTCAGATAGTTTAAAAAAAAATTAGAAGATCGCTATCTTAATAAATTTTTTGAATAACTAATTCATTTGTTTATTATTTTCCTCCAGAACAGATATCATTTTGTTGAAATAATTTTAATAATTTGACTCGTCTATTTTTAAACTGCTCAAACGGCTTCCAAGCGATTAAAAGTTCGAGGTAAAATGGAACATTGTCAAACGTGTAGTTTGCATCTTTATCTAACGGTAGATATTGTCCGAAATCCACACTGTCGTTGCAGAATAAAGCGACGTTATTGGCAACAACGCCTTTGAAATTTTCTTGGGATGTTATTGTCGAAGCAGTGTCATAGGCGAGCTGATAGGGATTGCATAAAGCAGGCCTCCACATCAATAGAACTCGTATTATTTGGAATGATTAAGCCATATTTAAAGTATGCATTGTTGATTGTAGGAGTCGTGTCATAAAAACAAAAGAAGAAATGTTTCAGAATGACTGTCTTAGAAAGAAAGTTAAGTTTCTCCAGCTACTGTTATGATTTGGGGAGCCATGTCAGCTAAAGGAGTGGGAAACTTACAGTTTGGGGAAGGTATTAGGTCTTTTCCTTTGCATCGACAGTGTAGCACTGAGCTACGTTACTTTTGAAAATGTCGTTCCATCCATACAATTTGTATAAATGGAACGATATGAATACAGATAATGGGTACATTAATGGGCTTCAAAATAACTTAAACTCCCAAATTGAAAAAATGCGTTTAAATAATATAGAATGTATCTTCCAGCAAGATGGTGCCGCTTGTCACACGGCTAAAAAAGTAAAAGATTGGATGTTTGAAAACAATATTCCACTTTTAAAATGGACGTCCAGTAGCCCAGATCTATCGCCTATTGAAACGTTGTGGCATATCAGGAAAAAAAGCTCAGATCAAATCCCGCAAGAACCGTTCTAGAATTGCGAACCAGTCTTAAAGAAATTGGAACAGTTTTACAGTAGATGACTGCTAAACCCCAGTATAAGTAATAATACAGTAGCGACAGTTCATTGTTTATGAGGTTTCCATATTTTTCTGCGCATGTCCGTAAATAAGCGGCAAATACGTCAAACTGGCATATGTGAATTGTCAATGGATTAATGGTGGTTGATTGTTTTGATTATCTGGTTGGTTGTAATGCACATTTTAATAAATTTTTATTATATTTAGACTTAATTTTCATCTTTCATTTATTGTGTGATATTTTATTCAAACAGACAAAGGGTCAAGATATTTTAAAGTTACTTATTTCAGTGTAGAAATAAGCGACAAAAACGTCAACTATCAATAAAAATCTGACCACCCCGACATCAAAGGAGCCGACTCAAGCTGTCGCTACTGTATTATTAATTATACTGGGGCTAAACATTAAATGACACTATGCCAAGGTGTATCGAATCAGTAATCAGTCGAAAAGGCGATGTAACGTAGTGGTAATTTGCTGTTATTTGGTTTCGTATTTTTTTGATGACACAAAAGCAATCAAGACACTTTACAATGTCCTGGAATACTGTTGTTATTTGGCAACCTACTTACACCTGTCAAATCAATAGAAGTGAAAGGGTGCAACGTAAAATACCTGCTCTTTAAACACCGATTTCATAGCCATAACGCATGGTATCAAATAAGATTAATGCTTTGCGGCATGCAGAAGAAAACAGGCTTTCCTGGCTAAATTAATACGTGGTTCTATTAAGTGCAGGTCACTGCTTGAGAGAGTTCAACTATTGGTTCCTGCCTGACGCACTCGGCACACATCACTTTTGAATGTAAAAAGACACAGAACCAATTACGGACAAAGTGCATTTATTGATCACTTATGCAAGAACTATAACAACTTTTACACGGACTGTGATATATTTAATTGTAATATTTTGGCGCTGAAAAGGGACTTGCAACTCCTGAATGTCTAAGTTTTACTCGTATCGTCCCGCGGGGTTGTGTTATTCTTCCTTTTTTTTTTTAATATTTTATATATTTTTTTTTATATTGTTTTTAACTCCTACAATTGGTTATGTTAGGTTAGATATACTGTAACTATTTGTACTTTACATTCTGTAAGTGCTACTACATAAATAAATAAATAAATAAATAAATAAATAAATAAATAAATAAATAAATAAATAAATAAATAAATAAATAAATAAATAAATAAATAAATAAATAAATAAATAAATAAATAAATGAAAATAAATGTTTGTAAGCCCCTCAGTCAATGTTAACGTCAAAACCACGTGACCTGAAAAAAGCATACTTACTCCGGAATCAATTCTTTCAACAAATTATACAAAGCCTTTTTCTGATCGGTCGTGGAAAACATCAACAAACATCTAATTTCCTCGTGCGAATGTATATTACTCTCGACCGTACTTCGTATTTCGTTCTTTCGCACAGGATTGCAATGGAACATGGCGGTCCTAATTTTCGGAATTTTCGGTATAAACAATCCATCGAAAAACGAAGCCTTACATAGATTTTTGCTATTTTTATGAAAATGGGAAATAACTTTGGGACACGATATGATGCAGTAGTCTGTGTTGCGGGGTACCAGTTCCTTCTCGAAATACTCTGGAACTTTTAAGACATATCTGTGTCAGTATAGACGCAGTTAATATACAGGGTGTTTCATTACAAGTATACATATGTTAACCGCAAACAAAGAACAGTTAGCTGATTACAGAAACCTATATTTTAAGTAAAAAAGTGAAAACAAATTTAAAGAAAAATTCAAAAAATTCTGTCTAAGAAAGTTTTGAAGCCAAATAATTATTTTCTACAAACACTGCTTTAACCATTCAGCCATCAGAACATAAGTCTCTGACATCCAAATTGTTAATTTAAATATAAGATTTCGAATCGAATCTCAGTGACAGAAAATTTCTAACTACTAATCAGCATCGTCTAGGGAAACATACTACTTATACATAGTAAACACTGACGAGAAAATTGCAATTTTTAAGAAATAATAAATCTAATTATACTGCTAATTTAATATATTAGTGTTAGAAGCATTTTTTATTTGATTCTGAGAATCATACTATTAAAAAGTTTAGAAATAATTATATTATTGATTTAGATTTAGAATTTATAGTATCTAATAAACTTCTTTTCAATGGGAATAAAGTTTCTTAAGGACCTGTATTTGGGCTTCTATTCTTTATAGTAAACACTGTGATGAGGAAATTTCAATTCTTAATAAACAATAAATAATGCTAATTGTTATATTATTATATATTATCCATAGTACTACAATCTTTAAACCTACAATATACAGTGGCTACAGTCACAACAGACTTGGCGACGAGGATGTCTTAAAAAATAAACCTGAATATGACGGGACCGAACGATGCGGCTACAACTGCAAAAAAGGGGCCAATACGGCCATTACAAATGTTACACATACAGTTCAAACGACATTTTCAATAGAAACATTTGATCCTGAAGCGACGAAGTTCGATAGATGGGTGAAGAGGCTCGAAAGTGCTTTTAGCGTATTTGCTATTTCAGAGGACCGTAAAAAGTCCTACCTATTACACTACATGGGTGCAAAAACTTACAATTTATTATGCAGCAAAGTCCACCCTGAGGAACCAGAAGATAAATCATACAAAGAAATAGTGGATTTGATGAAGGTACATTTCAACCCCCAATCACTGGAGATTGCTGGAATTTTTCGTTTTTTACAACGAAAGCAACAAGATGGAGAGACCGTTACTGAATTCATTACGGCGCTGCAAACTATGGCTATAAACTATAGGTTTGGTGATTATTTGAACAAAGCTCTACGAAACCAATTTGTTTTTGGGTTACATTTTTTTTTTTTTTGTTAGAGTATTGTTACTAGTCATTACTGACTAACCTACAATTTTAATCTAAAAATCTTACAAACTAATTATTTATCTAAGAAGTCCCCATTGGGCTGTCTTAATTGTTTCTATAGGAAAGCATCACAAGTTGGCGTGAAGATTTATTACACTGTTTTACACTAGCACTAACATTAACGTTCACTGCACTAGCTCAAATGGCTTCTTCCTTTTGAGCCTTCTGTTGAGTGTAGAGTTGTCCAGTAATTGCAGCGCTTCTTCGTTGACGTGGGAGTGGAGTCGACCCTCATGTTTCGCAGCAAACCTCTTTATTTCTTCTTCGATTGTTGGCATCTTCAGGTCTCTATGAAGATAATCGTTTCGGTAGAACCAAGGTGCATCAACAATACATCTTAGGACTTAATTTTGGAAAACTTGAATCATGTTAATATTACTCTTGCTGGCACATCCCCATAGCTGTATGCCATAAATCCAGATTGGTTTTAGGATTTGTTTATAAATCAGCAGTTTGTTGTGCACTGTCAATTTGGATTTTCTTCCTAGGAGCCAATAAATTTTTTTGAATTTAAGTTCAAGTTCTTTACGCTTTATTTTATGTGCTCTTTCCATTTAAGTTTTACATCTAGGTTCATCCCTAGGTATTTGGCCGAATCGTGATGCGGAATAACATCATTGTTTATTCTTATTTGTTTTTGTTCATTTGGTCGAAGAGTAAAATCAACATGCACTGACTTAGTTTGATTTATTTTTATTTTCCACTTTTTTGTCCATCGATTGATTCTGTTGCAGGTTTCCTGAAGTTTTTCTGAGGTCTCTGTATTAGTTCCGCCAACTGCCAATATTACAGTGTCATCTGCAAATGTTGCTATTTTAACAGATTGTTGTTGAGGGATATCGCTGGTGTATAATAAATAAAGAACCGATCCTAGCACACTGCATTGTGGGACACCTGCTTTAATTTCTTTCATTTCGGAGTATGCTTCGTCTTGCTTTACTCTAAACATTCTTCATGTTTAATATGATTGTAGAATATCGACATATTGTCTAGGGAGCATTTTTTTTAAGTTTCTGTATTAGGCCAGCGTGCCAGACCTTGTCAAATGCTTGGGCTACGTCAAGAAATATAGCTGAGCATATATATTTTTCTTCGTAAGCTTTTTCGATGATATCGATTATCCTGTGTACTTGATCTATTGTCGAGTGTTTGTTTATAAAACCAAATTGATGCGAAGGGATCATATTTTTATTTTCAATTATTGGTTTTAGTCGTTTTAGTAACAGTTTTTCAAATAGCTTAGATATTATCGGTAACAATGATATAGGTCTATATGACGACACTTCATTCAGAGGTTTTCCTGGCTTAGGAATTAGGATAACTTCAGCCATTTTCCACGCATCAGGTATATATTTAAGGCGAAATGCTGCATTTATGAGGTATGTCAATTTAACAATAGCCTTCCGCGGTAGTTTCTTTAATATTTCTCCAGTAATAAGGTCATATCCTGGGGCTTTCTGTGAGTTGATGTTTGTCTGAATTTCTTTCGTAACTTCATTGGGAGTAACTAGCTTAATTTCAAGTTGTTCCATATTATGGATGGTCTCATTAGGAGTGTCTTGATTTTCATCTAATTGGAACGTCTTTTGTAGGTGGTCAGCGAAAATATCAGCTTTTTGTTGATTGTCTCTTGTCCATTTGTTATCTGCTATTCTGATAGGAGGACAGTGTTTACACGAATTTTTCATCTTTTTAGTTGCCTTCCAGAGTGAATAATCAGTTTCTTTATCATCTGTTAGCCCTACTAGGTATCTGTTGAAGGATTCTTCTTTGTGATTTAGAATTTCTCTTCTCAGTCTTTGGGTAGCCCTATTTAATATATTTGTATCTTCTGGTGATCTTGTCATCTGCCATTTCTTTCTTAGTTTTCTTTTTTCTGCTACTAGTTCTCTTATCTCGACAGGATAGTTTTTTACAGCTGTTAATCTTCTTACTTTTGGTGTGTTCCTCCATGCAGCTTGCTGGATTTCAATTATAAACGTTTCCAGTTCTTCTTCTAGCTGATTTTTCGTTTTTAGTGTTATGGTCAGTTGAATAGTATTTGTTAAGTCCTCTTGAAAACCTTCCCAATTAGTTTTCCGATTTGCTAAGGTCGGTTTGGCTTCTCTTTGAATAACATTATCACTTAGAGTAAGGATTACTGCAGAATGGTCTGAATCCATATCAAAGTTTTCTTCTACTTGTGTATAGTTTGGTGAAATTTTCCTCAGAATAAAGAAATCCAAAAGGTCTGGAATCTTATTTGGGTCGGTGGGCCAATAGGTGGGTTTTTCAGAAGATTGGTATGTACAACCAAGTTCTGATGCAGTTTGGTGCAATTATTTTCCTTTGACTGCGGTTAATCTTGAATCACAGTTTGTGTGTTTGGAGTTGTAATCTCCACCTATTATAAATTTGTTACCTAGTTTTTTGAGTACATTGAGATAATTTTCTTTTTTCTGGTTGTATCTTGGTGGGCAATAGATTGCAGCTATTGTAATTTTGCCCCCCTTAATGTTAATGGTGCTAATGGTTACCTGATTTTCTGGTTCTTGGATGCCTGGTTCCTCATAGTGGGAAACGTTATTTTTAATAATTAACGCACTTCCTCCTCTTGCTGCATTTGATGGATGGATAGTGTGATAGAAGTTATATCCTCTGAATTTAATGTATGACTCTGTTGTAAGGTGGGTCTCAGAAATCAGACATATATCTATTTTTTGTGCGTCCAAGAAAACTTGGATATCAGTTTGTTTTCGGAGAATACCATTGGCATTCCAAGTGGCTATTCTAATATCTCTTTTGTCCATTGGTGGTTTTGTTATATGTTTGGGGTTTATTTAATTCTTCTAGCTTCTGGATCCTGTCAGAGAGTGAATCTATTCTGGTTATTAAAGATAATAACAATTCATGAGTAGTACTTTCTGCTAAGCTGGTTGGCTGTGAAGTATGCTGCGCAATTTGTGGCGTGGGATTCATGGTTGGTTGTGACCTTTGAATTGGTTGCTCCTGTGAGTTTGTTACCTGAGAATATGTTATTTCATTTCTGACAATAGGAAAAGCGTTTATAGATCTCTTCTGTCTCGTCATTATTTTAGGTTTAGTGATGTTATCCTTCCTTATCTGAAAGGTTTTAGCTACCTCACATCCTCTGTAGTTAGCAGGATGTTCCATTAGGCAGTTTATACACTTCGGTTGTTGTTCTGGACTTTTTACACAATCCTTCGTATGATGTTTTCCTACGCACTTTACGCATCTTGATTCTCTTTTGCAAAAGTTGTGCGTATGTCCAAATAGCTGGCAGTTTTTGCATTGCGGAACTAGTTTTGACTTTCTTATGGTTTCTATTATAACTCTTAGATTAAGGATTGCTTTGATTTCGTAGATTTTCTTAATATCTTCAGTATTTTCGAATGATAGCATGAATAGGGGCAATGGTATTTTATTTAGTTTACGAGTGTTATCCTCGGTTAATTCTATTTCCTTCTTTATTATATTGACAGCTTCTTTACATTTTAATCCTTGACTTTGCAAGTCTTCAACAATATCTTCTGGTTTAGATGTAGATGGTAGACCTCTAACCATTACTTTAATGTCTATGTTCTGTTTAACTTCATAGGAATGCCAATTTATTTCTTTGGCATTCAAGGTTGATATGACATTTTTGAAGTCTTCTTCTTGTTTAGTATTAATTTTAAACTGGTTATTGCTTAGAG